AATAGGGTGCAAACCCTAAGGATTAGGGTCCCCTCCTGATTGGCCTACTCGCCGAGTCCAGGCGTGGACTCGCCGAGTAGATCACTTAAAGCCCGCATCCACTCGACATCTACTCGGCGAGTTAGGGCTACAACTCGCCGAGTAGCTCTTCCCAAAAGAACATTTAATTAAAATAAATACGTACCAGGAACGGGGCGTTACAGTCTCGAACCGATATATATTTATGAGGATCAAGAGCATAAATCTTATGAAAAGAGGCGGCTAGGGTGGTATCCCCCTTCCACACGTTATGCCGGAAAGAAGTCATATTTCCATAACCAACCCTAATAGGGCTAAACGGCCTGAGATCAAGACCAGGATTATTGAGTTGCACCAACACCCAGATAACACCATTCCAAGGACTTATCAAACTCCTTCTGAGAAAGAGAGAGAGAAATACAACCACCATCAGGACCATAAAGAGCTTTGATAATTTTAAGCCATATAAGATCCGGGTTATGAAAGAATCTCCTACGCCATTTATAGAGCAAGGCCCTATTGAATGAAAAAAGACTACCAACACCAAGACCCTCATCCTTTCTTTGAGCTAAAACTCAGTTCCACCGAACCTAATGCATACATCTCTCATCTAAATCAGCACCCTAAAAGAACCTAGCTCGAAGAGACTCCAAAGTATTAACCACAAAGATAGGAACCCTGAAAATAGACATCAAATAACTACCAAGGTTTCCGAGAACCGCTTTGATCAAAGAGAGACAACCTCCAGACGATAAACATTTCGCTTTCCAACTTGTCAAGTTATCTCACTAACTCGTCGAGTTCATGCTAGAATCCAGAAAGCGGGAAACCCTCATCCAACTCGTCGAGTTTCTTTAGTCCTCTTCTCACTCAGATGCTTTTAAGCGAAACCAAGGCTCCAAACTGTAGATCTAGCCTCCTAGGGTGTAGTTACCATGTTAAGTTGCTAACTGTACGTGCATGCAAGGCTTCAAGAAGCTAAAACACTCAAAAATAGCGTTAGGAAGAGGTTTAGGGCATGGAGAAGGGATAAAGCTTCATAAAGCTTGAGGCTTTATGTCCATGAGGGCCTAGAGGAGTCCAGATCTTAAGTTACAACTTCAAATCGTGCTCAAAACCAGAAATGCTTTAAGAATAAGCTAGAAATGACCCTAAACTCTTGAATGAACAGATCTAACAAGAAAATGATCAAGGTAATGACTTTTTACCTTCAAATGAATGCCAAAACAATGTAGATGCTGGATCTACAAGCCCCTTCTCGTTCCAAGCTTCTAAATCTTCAAATCTCTTCAAGAAATGCACCAAACACACACTTTTAGCCTTACACACACATACACACGCTCAAAATAGGGGTTAGCTCCATGAAGGTTTTAGAATCCACACAGCTTTGTCGGTTTCTACACGACAAGTCGTGGCATCCAACTCGTCGAGTAAGTCTACAAATATGAATATGAAGTTTTAAAATTTATACCTGGGAGTCGGGATGTTACAAAGCCTAATTAATCCCACTTAAGTACCATATATAGGTTTTTTCCTTTCTGGAATATGATAAACCTTAATAATTTTTTATACTAATTTCCACCATTCATTTAATCTGACAAGAAGGGAAATGAGGTATCGAACCTGTTGGAATCAACAAAACCTACAAATCGCAGTAGGAGGTACTACTTAGTATATATGAGAATTTATTTCTTTAAATTTAGATAAAATAACTTCAAAAGATTAGTCATTTCCAAACTCGGCGAGTTCATATGACTTCAAAATCGATCAAAATTTATTTTTCAGAGAGAATTATGATTTAGTTTTCCCGTGAAACCAAAATTGACATACCTGCTATCATGGCTAAAGAGACTCATGGTGATTTCTATGCTGCCACATCAAGTGATGGGAGAGCGGCCAGGTCTTCAACAGAAATGCCGGTTTTTTCTCATTAAGATAGGGGCGACATCGGGGGCTGTGAGCTGTTTTTGATGTCCTTGGCCTGGAGAGGGATGAGAACATAAAGGGAGACCGACAAAGATAGAAGAAACATGAGGAAATTTGTTAATCTTGATGATAAATTTCATAGGAATAGAAGGAAAAAGATATCTAACATAATTATAGGCTTAATAAATAAATTAGTTACCATAATAATAGGAATGAATTTTAATTAAACTAATTTATTTATATGTCAATTTACCAAACTCCCGTTATACATTTAAATAGTTTTTAAATATTAATAATTAAAATGATTGGTCTACAATTATCCACCATTCAGAATACATGAACCTCTCTCTCACACACACACATTCTCTCTCTTTCTCTCTCTCTCTCTCTCTCTCTCTCTATATATATATATATATATATATATATATATATATATATATATATATATATATATATATATATATATATATGGGGATAGGGAATATACATTACAACCCCACCTAAGCTTAGGTACTAAACCTCTAAAATATGTCGTTTTAACATGCTAAATATACCCGGTTTGGTTTCACTTGATAAATATATCATTCTCCATAACATTTCTTTCTTTCATTATCGTTTTATCATCTCTGTTTTTCGTTCCTCAATTATCGTTTATTACTTCATCCAAGTGAACATTATTAAACCTTAAACCTAAACTTAAACCCTAAATTTAAACCCTAAACACTAAAGCTAAACCCTAAACCCCAAATCTAAACACTAAACCCTAAGCCCTAAACCCTAACCCTAAACCCTAAACCCTAAACCTTAACCCTAAACCCTAAACCCTAAACCTAAACCTAAACCCTAAACCCTAAACTCTATTGTGTCGATCTTGTATTTACATCTTGAAGTATTAATCGTGAATCCATTAACCATAATCTTTATATAGTAAAACAATGTATTTTTAAGAGGTTTAGTACCTAAGCTTAGGTGGGGCTGTAATGTATATTCCCTTTTCCCATATATATATATATATATATATATATATATATATATATATATATATATATACTATCTTATAAAAGAAATCTTACTATTTCTATAAATAGAATCAATATAATAATAATATTTTTTAAGACGTTCAACTCTTTAAACTTAAAGTACAACCAGCTATTAATATAATAATATTATAATATATATCTTACAAATGATAATGCTAGGGATACAAGTATTAAAAACACATTTAAATTAGTATTTCCTTATTTTTAGAAATTGAATTAGTATTTTCATCAATTTTGACCCAACTTGTACTCCTAAAATATATCTTCTCTGGTATCTGGTGCATTCGAAATCTGAAACACTTCTTTTCGACAAACCGTTTGAAATTTAAAGCCCATTCAAATTGGAGTTCCCTAATTTTTTGCATAAAATATAGTTGACTGGAGATTAATTCAAATCTTCATCTCCTTTTCCTCCATGGAATCCACCACCACAATATTTTTTGGTTTTGGCATTGCACTTTTTATTTTTGTGAAACCGATCAATAATGGTGCAAATGTTCTTAGAAATATAACATGTCTCCGAATGAACTAATTGCTTGAAAGAAAATATTCGTCGCCGCCGCTTTGCGCGAGCAAACGGTTAGTATATATATATATATATATATATATATATATATATATATATATATATATATATATATATAAAATACACGCCAATGAAGAAATTTCAAATGCCCCCACCTGGCCACAATGGATGCATTTGCTTGCAAAGTTATGTCGCAAACTGCAATGGTTGATTGAAATACACACACATGTATACACATACACATTCAAATACACACATACACATACACACATACATTTACATACGCACCCACATTCACATACATATACATACATACACATACACATACATATATAAATACATAAATACACATACAATATACATATTTCCCATTATAATCATTTTTCATTAGTTATAAATTAAACATAGATTATTTCACAGGATTGATGTGTTAAACAAAGTTTTTTTCATTTAATCGTTTATTTGTGTGTTAAACACATTTGTTACAATTATTATATATTATTATGATGTTTATAAATATTATTATTAGTATGATTTTTAATTGTTCGTGTCTTAAGTATGTAAGAAAAGTGATCCAAAAAAAAATTTAAAAGTCGAATAATGAAAAATAATAATAATGGAAGTAATAATAATAATGGAAATTATAAATCCATCGCTATTTCGTTGCTATTCTGTAGCTATTTTCTTCCGTCGCTTGCCCATAGTTAATTAGCTATCGGTAGCTATTCCGTAGCCATTATGTAGCTAATTAGCTACGAAATAGCTACGGACTAGTATTTGTAGTTATTCCGTTACAAAATTAGGGTGTCCCATTCTATAGTTAATCCGTAGCCATTCCGTAGCTATTTTCCGTATATAGCAGGTTTAATTCACAAGATTTATTTTCCGTACGAAAATTTTCCGTTGCTATTTTCCATAGAAAACTCCCCTTTTTTCTAGTAGTGAAGTCAGCCAAAAGTTGGACTAATTTGATGTTTACTCCCTGTGATTTTCCAAATATAGGAGGTTTATTTCACAAGATTTATTTGTTGTTGTGTTCATCCATATTTCCTAAATGTAAATAACATGTTTTGAGGGAGATAGAGTCAGTATGTGAATAAGCTCTACTTAACTTTACTTATTTCATCTATTACATATTCCTGGCTGAAAATGAGTAATAAGGTAAGTAGAGTTAAGTAGAGCTTATTCACTTACTGCCTCTATCTCCCTCAAAGCATGTTATTTACATTTTGGAAATATGGATGAACATAACAACAAATAAATCTTGTGAACTAAACCTGCTATATTTGGAAAATCACAGGGAGTAAACATGAAATTAGTCAACTTTGGCTGACTTCTTCAGTCAACCATTGCAAGTTGCAACGTAACTTCATAAGCAAATGCATCCATTCAATCCAGGCGGCCTGGTCGGGGCATTTGAAATTTCTTCATTGGCGTGTATTACAGATAACCCACAAAATGTATGTGTAGTTCACACATTCCTAATTTCTTTGCAGTTATTTCTTAAGAATCTTTCTCAAGAAAACCTTTAATGGCGTCTTCTTCAACTTCATACAATCAAAAGGGCTTCAAGTATCAGGTGTTCTTAAGCTTTACAGGAGAAGACACACGTAAGACCTTCGTTGATCATCTTTATGCTTCTCTTAAGCAAAAAGGTATTCATACGTTCAGGGATAACGAGGAGCTCGAGAAAGGAAAACGGATCGATGAGCTCTTCAAAGCCATTGAAGAGTCGAGGTTCTTTATCATCGTTTTCTCCAAAAACTATGCATCTTCTTCTTGGTGCTTGAAGGAGATCACGAAGATTATGGAATGCCAAGATGGGAACCAACAGATTGCTTATCCACTCTTTTATGGTGTGGAGCCCAGCGACATCCGCCATCAAACTGGGCCAGTTGGAAGAGCAATCGCCAAACATAAGGACAACGAACAAATTAAGAAATGGGAAAAAGCTCTGGAAGGTGCAGGCAATCTGGTTGGGTGGGACCTTAAAAACATTGCTAATGGGTATAAATTCCTTCCTTCATCATATCTCTGCAAAAAACTTCTTTCGTTTCTGTATTATCAATATTATATTGTATATCTCTAAATCAAAGTTGGGTCTTTTATGTAATGATAGATTTTTCTTTTCTTTGGTGTCTGGGTATTTCTTCCTTGATTTATGTAGTATGGATTAGCTTTGTAGTTAGCATTTAAGTTTTAGAAACAATATGCTTATAAATATACTAACTATTATTGAAATCGTTTCCTTCAAATTAAAGAGGAATATTTGCATTTTTGCATTGATCTTTGGTGTCTGGGTAGAGGTATTTCTACAGCAACAATTTTTTTTTTTCTTTTTCAGTTGAGCCTTATAAACAAAGCATCAAACATGAATCTTCTTATTTCCAACATTCTAGATGGATATACATTTGTGAAACATGAAATATGTGTATGGTATATATAGTGCTGAAACAAATTGATCATATGGGATCTTGAGCCAGCTACTTAAATGTTGTTTAATTAATCTACAGGCATGAAGCTCAAGCCATCACAAAAATTGTTGAAGAAATTTCATTGAAGCTAGGTTCCATTCATTTGGTCAATGATGAACATCTAATAGGCATGGAACAGCGGATGCAAGCTTTGGAGGCGTCTTTGGGGATGGGATTGAAGGATAAAGCCCGGATGATAGGGATCAAGGGGATGGGAGGCATTGGGAAGACGACTTTAGCCAGAGCTATTTTTGATCAAGTATCTTCCCATTTTGAAGGTAGTAGCTTTGTTGCTGACATAAGAGAAGTTTCAAAAAAGAAGGGGTTGGAGTCATTGCAACAACAAATCCTTTCGGATGTTCTTAAAGATGAACGCATTGTGGGAAGTGTTAATGATGGGAAAAGAATCATGAGAACGAGGCTACCCTATAAGAAACTGCTTCTTGTTCTAGACGATGTGGATGATACAAAACAGCTCGAGGCGTTAGCTGGTGATTGGTTTAAGGATGGAAGTAGAATCATCATTACAACAAGAGACGAGAAAGTGCTGCTGTCACATCGAGTGAATGAGAAGTGGATTCATGATGTTGATTTCTTGTCGGATGAGGAAGCAATTCGCCTCTTCAGTTGGTTTGCGTTTAGGAGATATATTCCAGATCAAGGGTATGAAGAGCTTGCAGCCCGAGTAGTACATTATGCTGATGGTCTTCCCTTAACGATTAGGGTTTTGGGTTCCCATCTGTGTGGTGAAAAGGAGGATGTATGGAGAGATGCAATTAAAAGACTTGAAACAATTCCACTACGAGAGACTGTAGATGTATTGGAAATAAGCTATAATAGCCTAGAGGATGATCACAAGGAAATCTTCTTAGATGTTGCATGCTTCTTGAACGGGCTTTCTCATGAATTTGCAATTAGAATCCTTGAGAGCTGTGGATTTCATGCTACATATGGTTTAAGAATTCTTGAGCACAAATCTCTCGTAACGATTTCAGATGGTAGATTGGGCATGCATGATACAGTACAAGAATTGGGCAAGAATATTATTCGGCGAGAGCACCCCCACCCCCATGAACTCAACAAACATAGCCGACTATCGAATACAGAGGAAATTGTAGAATTATTGTCTGATGATGAGGTAAGTATCAAATTTATTACAAGTAACAAATTTCTAATTATAGGTACTGCAGCCTCTGACACAAGTTTCATGGTGACTGCTTTTGGATCATAGGGTACTGCAACCTCAACATGTATTGGACTGATGATGCCCCTGGTGCTGTGTGAACTGAGTCCTGAAATTATCATCCAAAAACTTGGAAACCTGAAGAAACTTCGATATCTTTGTGTTTTGGGGAACGATAGTGACTGTTTCCCTAGTGACTGGAAGTTTGATGAAATGAAACCCTCCTTTCCGAATTCGTTACAGTATCTGATATGGGATAAATACCCTGGTTTCTCTTTACCCCACACATTTCGAGCAAAGAATCTTGTTGGACTTGAATTGACTGAAAGCAAAATCACACAACTATGGGAAAGTAGAGAAAGAAAGGTACAATGGTTGATTCATAGTAATGTTTTTCGTCTATTTGTTGGTCGATACATCAATACTCTGTCTAACTTTTGTTCTTTTTGCATATGATATAATCTCTTAAGAAGCTCAAGTTCTTCCACCTGGGTAATTCAAACTTGAGGACCCTTCGGGAAAGGGGGGAAAGAAAGGTACAGTGGTTGATTCATTGTAATGCTTTTCGTCTCTTTGTTAGCGGATACAACAGTACTTTGTCTAATTTTTTTTTTTTTTTCGTTTTGCATTTGATAGGTTCTTGACAAACTTAGGTTCCTCGACCTTAAAAATTCGAAGGTGAGGACCCTTGACCTTGGGATGACTCCCAATCTTGAGAGGTTAGGTCTTGAAGGATGTCATGATTTGGAAAAGATTTATGCGCCTGCTGGATGTCTAAAAAGGCTTATCTACATAGATTTACGTGGTTGCCCATGGTCTGTATCTTTTCCTTTTGTTAAACAATTGGAACCACATGTGCTTCTTAGTCTACCTGTGTTAGCTGTGAAAGTGGATCCCTTGGAGGATTTTCCAAAGGACCACACAAACAATCTACGATTTACATTTGTATATTATAAAGAACCACCTTTGTCAAGAGAAGGAATTGATTATAAGACTGTTTTTCTAGATCTTCAGCCTTGCACTAAACTTGAGAGTGTTTCAGGAAGCATTTGTGGCTTACAACATCTAAGAGAAGTTAAATTCCAGGGCTGTATTCCGGAGTTGCCCAAGGACATTGACCAGTTGAAAGGCTTGGAACAACTCATTTTGTTATCTACACACGTCAAACGTCTTCCTGATAGCGTTTGTATGTTGAAACATCTGAAATCTCTCAAAATTAGTGATTGCCAGCATCTTGAAGAGTTGCCGGAGAATCTTGGTTTGTTAGAAAATTTAATGGAGTTGAGTTTATCGACTGCAAGTATTCGGCGTCTTCCTGATAGTGTTTGTATGTTGAAACATCTGAAATCTCTCAAACTTGGAGATTGCCAACATCTTGAAGAGTTACCGGAGAACCTTGGCTGGCTAGGAAATTTAGAGGAGCTGATGTTCATGTCTATAAGTATTAGACGTCTTCCAGATAGCATTTGCATGCTAAGCCATTTGAAATCTCTACACCTTGACTCTTGTGGACGCCTCGAGAAGTTACCCGAGGATATTGGGCAATTAGAGAGTTTAGAGATGCTAAACCTCGGACAGTGTGAATCTTTACAGGATATTCCAAACAGCATCTGTAACATGAAATCTTTGAATCATCTCTATCTCCGCGAATGTAGACAAGTTGAGAAATTGCCAGAGGATTTGGGAAACCTAAAGCTTTTACAAGGGTTAAATATAGCGTTTACAGGAATAAGTCATCTTCCACATAGTATTTCCTCGATGAATGGTCTACTTGTTTTCGGATCCATATCACTTCTTCAGTCTTGTGCTTTTGCAACCGAGATATATACCCATGAAGTACTTGGACCCCACTGCCGCATACAAGCCATGGATAGCACATTGGCACGCACAGAATTAAGGAGCCAGTCCGAACAGAAGTATCTTACCAGGTATTTCGTTCTTTTGTTTTTATTAATTTTCTTATATACTTTAGTAAATCATGGAGTGGTGTGGAATATTAATCAGGCTGTGCATGGGTCGGTTTTGGACCCTACTGTCGGTTTTTGGTTTTCAGAACCCAATAAGATCACTTTTTGGTCGGTTCAGTTTCTTGGATTCTAGAGTCGGTTTTGGCAGTTTTTTTGGTTTCTTGGGTTCAACTCATATAATCATAGGTTTTAGGTTAAAACCCACGGGGTTTAACCCATTTTCTAGAAATGCACAAAACCATCATATCCTAAAGTTGTGGTTAATTTATAAGCTTCTATGTGCTTGTGTTGGAGTGAGTTTTCCAATCGCCTTGTAGCAACTTCTTGTCCAACAGTTTTTCCTTGTATTTTTGTATCATTCAATTCTTTTTTAATCGGCATATGAATGTCTGCACTTTCAATTAATCAAGATCATTAATAAATGTATCAACCATCATTGATTCAAACACATGCACACATCGATATGATGAAAAACCAAATATGAGGATCAAAACTTGACTATATACAAACAAAAAAAAAATATTATTTTTATTTAATGAGTTGCTTTTCATACCTTTGATCTAATTAGAAGGAGTAATCGACTAATCGTTGATTTTCATTTAAGATTTTGAATGATCTACGCCTTTGATCCTTATAGCCTTCCTACCTAATAAACAAAAGTTTTTTGCCACATGTAATCACCTAATTCAACATGCCACATGATATTTTTTTAATTTTTTCAATTTCATTTAAATCCACTTGCCAATTTGTGGTTTTTTTTGGCTTTGTTATTAAATTAAATTATAAAAAAATCTAATCTAAAAATATAATAAAGAAGATAAGAAAACTTAAATATCTTCATAAATTTTCAATAATTTGTCGATCAATGTATTAAATTCAATTTAAATTCAAATCAACCTTCCTAATTGAAAAATATAATTTTCAGCCAATCCTATTTAAATTCACGATAATTTGCAGAAACGTTGCAAAAATTGGTTCATTCACAACTAATATTGATATTCTTTCCAAATTCAATTTTATAAATTATTAATCAAGTAATGCTTAACAAAATATATTATTTTTTTTAAAAAAAGCCCGTGTATTACACAGATCTCACACCTAATATATATATATATATATATATATATATATATATATATATATATATATATATTATATATATATATATATATATATACACACACACACCATGTCCTGATTCCAATTCCTTTATGTACTGATACAGGGAGGGCAAGGAAATATTAATTGAAGATGGTGATGAGGGTACACCAGGAGGAGGTATTTTGTGTGTGTGTGTGTTTTTTTTTTTTTTTTTTTTTCAAGTCAAGTTTTTTATTGACCAACATGTATGTATTCTTTTGTCAAATCTTGTATGTATTTCAGAATCTTCAAAGTATCTGCAGAACCAAGAACTCATCAGGTTTGTATACATTTTCTTACTCATGACATGACAGGTTGTACAGTATTTGAGAAGTAATCTAGTGTTTGGTATGGTATTTTGTTGGTTTATTGAATAGATTCTTGGAGAACTTCATGTCTGCAGCAGAACCAGAAGATTTCGAAAATATGCTCCAAGTGATCACCTCCTTTCAAGGTGACAACAATGATTCTTCAGAAATGAGTGAAAAGGAAACTGACATGATAATTATGATGCTAAAAGAAGAGCTCCAAAAGAGGTCTAAAATAGCATCATCTTTCAACACCCAAAATCCAATGGAAACAAATACGAGTAATATTCCACAAGGTCAACAAAGCCAATTGACTTATCCAGACATGCGTGAGGTATATATATATGCTATTGTATAATCAAAAAGCATATTAACAGATTGTGTATCAATTGACATTTGATTGACTGATGTTTGGTTTATTGATCGGAAAGATGACACCTGACATCAAACTCTCTCAGGAGGATGCAGAAAGAGCCCAACAAGTCATGTCCTCTTTGTCACCAGAGACCATCGATACACTGGTAATTAAACACTATTTATATATTCATGCGTTTATTGTTTCTTAGATTTTTGGATTTTGGATTTTGTTTTATTAAAGATGTGGTGGGGTTGTTACAGATAAAGTTGGCTGATCGAATAAAAACAGCATGTGAAGGTGCTGTAAAAACCAAAAATTGGCTTCTTGGGAGGCAGGGATTTGTTATGGTTGTATGTATCCTTCTTTTTGCAATCTTTCTCCATTTGCTTGGATTCATTGGCAATTAGAAACAAAAAATGTAAAAACAGTCTGGAAATGTTGCGTGGGAGAAATGTTGTAATGGAGGCTAATGCATGGGTAAACACTTTTTTTATTCCTAATTCTTTGTTCAGTAAATTTATTTATTGTCCCAAATGATTACGTTTGGAGGAGTCAAGCATGTAAGGAGTTGCTGCAAGAAAAGTAATTTTAAAGGTGAAAGTAAATTTACTAAACCATCTGTAACTTTAATCAAATGATTCTCTGGATTATGATTTCTTGGAAGTTGAAATAATCTCTTTGGAAAGACATGTTGAAATAAGATACCCTTTTAGACAATCAACAACCAGAATGTATATGGTAACTTAATAGCTTATCGTAACAAAAACAACATGAACATGTTTTACACAATGTGCCAATGTGGGGCTACCTCAAGAGTAAAATATAAAAAGTTTGGATAATTTTACTATCTAGATATGTAAAGTACGTTTGCTATTTCGAGAAGGATTGTAAGTTTGGTTACAGATAAAACGATTAAAATAATGTCTTGGCCACTTTTAAACATGAATTGGTACTCAAATAAAGAAAAATTAATTACCGAAATCACTACAACATTGATTTTACATATCAAAAATCAACAACAATCAGACACATTGAATACCTAATCCAAATCAACGAAGATTATTTTTTAACATAAAATTTTTTGGAAAGAACAAAAAAAAAACTAATTTGCAATGAAAAATTTTCATTTTAAAGATATCCAATTTGTCCTGCTTTTTTCCTGAAACCCGAACACAGAAAATTGTTAGATGAAAAGCAAACAACTTTCCAAACATAATATTCAAGATATTGGATTACTTGGGATATTTTGAACTAGTCTACAAAAAAAAAAAAAAAAAACTTATAAATTGTTCCACCAAGTTTCCATTTGATTTCCACCACAAGAACCAACTTTTCCTAGTAATAATCCAATTTCCTTAGATCCACACCTTTGGATTACAACATTTAGTCCATATCCCCTCCCCATAAAAATCAAACCCCAAAAGTATCAACTAACGTTATACGCCAAATATACCCTCTCTATAACCAATGATTATATACGTGAACTGTGGGAGGAGTTGATGGAGCGTGTGGTAGGAACTGTGTGGGTTGAAGAAATGTGAAAATCTAGGAGAGATATAGAGGTTGAAGAAGCGGGTGAAAGTAAAGGTTTTTTAAGAAAATAGTTTTTGGTGGTGGAGATAGAATGGGGTAGATGTATGGGAGAGATGATCCCAAATAGAAGGAGATAAGAAGCGGGGGGAAGGGGGGAGTGTAAGAGTTGAAAACGGAGTTGTGGGAGGTTGAAGATCGAGTGGGGGTGGAGAGGAGCAGAGAAAGGTGGAGAGAGGGGTGTTTCTCCCTCTAAAATCAGATTTAGGTGTTCCTAAATTTTCTCATCAAAGAGAGTTTTAATTTTGATTGGATGTTGAATTGTAGGTTGAACTTTGTTTAATATAATATTCTATACAATTGATGATGCATTACATGGTGTCAAATAAACAATAGTTACTTGAAAAGATAAGTATGATGCTATTATTCGATAACAATATAAGTATGTTGTTGTTATTGATTGAAAAGAAAAGAATGTTGCTATTATTTGTGTAAAAGAAAAGTATATTGCTATTATTTGTTAAAAAAATAAATATGTTGCTATTATTTGTAACAATAGATAACTTCATTGCTATTATTGGATTAAAAGGTAAATATGTTGCTATTATTGGTTGAAAAGAAAAGTATGTTGTTATTATTTTAAAAAAGATAAGTTAATTGCTATTATTGGAATGAAAGGTAAGTATGTTGCTATTATTTTTTTAAAAGATACCTATGATGTTATCGTTAAAAATTTGTAGTCGTTAAAAAATACAACTTTATAGGTATATAAAATATTATTATTATTATTATAATTAACTCCTAAAGCTTCCTATAATTTAATTTAGTTCATGATTTATAGCATTAGAATTATCTTTTTTCAAAATTTATACAGTTTTAATCATGAAACAATTATTTTGTATTTTACCAAATTTATTTAAAATATACTCTAATATGTATTAAATATATAGAGATCCTATAATATATTAATAAACAAAATAACCTTAATAATGTAATATTATTATATATTTCTTCAATTCACTCTAGACCTCATTATACATTACATGTTTAACCTTCTAATTAATATTTTAACAAACAAAAAAAAAGACGTAAAACTACATTATGAAAAAATATATTATCTTTGTATAAAAGAGATCTTTTCAACTTTTTTAATATTATAGAAATGTAATGTTTATTTTAATTTTAATTTTACAAAAAGTTGAAATAAATATATTATAGCAATTATATTAGAAAAAGTTGTAACACCTTGTTTTCCAGGTATTCCATTTATACCATTGATATGAGAATTATTGGCAAAATGGGTCCCTTGTAGCAACTGAGGGGAATTTCCATTGATAGGAACACAATGCATCCATTAGCAATGCTATGCGTTCTCGACGTTGCGTTCATGCAGGAATGCAGTGCGTTCTCATCCTGGACCAAACCTCTAATTTTTAGGGTTTGGACTCTATTTAAGCATCTTTATGACCCATGATCCCCTCATTTGTCAACCTCCATTTCCCTTTGAGCCTCATTTCGAAACCCTAACTCCTCTAGAGAAGATTTAACCCACTTTATGTGTGTTTTAGTGTGTGTTGGTGAGTCTCGAGGAAGAAGAGTCTTGAAGAAGGAACTTTGACCAAGGGAGAGCGTGTAGATCCAAATTCTACTCATTATTTCCAGCTTCATTAAGGTATAAATCTTAGAACTTGTTCATTGCATGCTTAGATCTAGTATCATGGGTTTTGTTCACTTTTTAGTCCCATAAATAAGATCTAGTTGATTTCTTCTACTCCAGAAGTTAGGAGTTGTTTCTCTTGATGTTTCTGAGATCCATAGTCCATAAAGTTAACATATTGATGATTGAGGATCAACCATGCATGATTTTAAGTCCATTTAGTGAAAGTAGTATGCTAAATCTAGGGTTTGAGTCCATTTGAGCCATGCAAAAGAATCAAGTTAATAACTTTGTGGTTAAGGATGTTGGTTTAGGACTAGATTTGAAAATTGAGCAAAAGAGCTTAAGGATTATGCTATTAATATAATGAAATGGAGTCAGCTGAAGAAGGCAATATGTCCTTCTAGGAATGCCATGCGTTCTGAACGTAATTCATCCATTCTAGACACTATGCGTTCTCACGCTAGGTTGACTCGGTCGACTTTTTGACTTTTGACAAAGTTTGACCTTAGGGTATTTTGAGTTGTAGTCTGAGTTTTGGTCACTGTTATTTGTTAAGGTGATCAATAGAGCAATTTTTGGAGCAACGTATTGTTTCAGTTTTTCCGCCGAGGTGAGTCTCCTCACTGTATCCATGGGTTGAAGGCACCAATGCCGACCCATTACTTTGTTATATAGGATGCTGGCTATCTATACGATATATGTAAGAAAGACCAGGATTTGTCCCCTACCTATTTTATGGAAGACCAGGATTTGACCCCTGGCTATTGTATGGAAGACCAGGATTTGGCTCATGGCAATCGTATGAAAGACCAGGATCGTGCCCCTGACACTTGAATGTAAGACCGGTATTTGGCCCTCGACATTGCAAGGAAAGACTATGATTTGGCTCATAGCAATTCCTTTGCATGGCTCAAATGGACTCAAATCTAGGGCTTGAGTCCATTTGAGCCATGCAAAGCAATCAAGTTAATAACTTTGTGGTTAAGGATGTTGGCGTAGGACTAGATTTTAAAATTGAGCAAAAGAGCTTAAGGATTAAGCTATTAATGGAATGAAATGGAGTCAGCTGAAGAAGGCAATCTATCTTCCTAGGAACACCATGCGTTCTGAACGTAATTCATCAATTCTAGACAATATGTGTTCTCACGCTAGGTTGACTCGGTTGACTTTTTGACTTTTGACAGAGTTTGACCTTAGGGTATTTTGAGTTGTAGTCTGAGTTTTGGTCACTATTATTTGTTAAGGTGATCAATAGAGCAGTTTTCAGAGCAACGTATTGTTTCAGTTTTTCCCCTGTCTATGAGGTGAGTCTCCTCACTGTATCCATGGGTCGAAGGCACCAATTCCGACCCATTACTTTCTTATATAGGATGCTGGTTATCTATACGATATATGTAAGAAAGACCAGGATTTGGCCCCTACCTATTTTATGGAAGACCAGGATTTGGCCCCTAGCTATTGTATGGAAGACCAGGATTTGGCTCATGGAAATCGTATGAAAGACCAGGATCTTGCCCCTGACACTTGAATGTAAGATCGGTATTTGGCCCTCGACATTGCAAGGAAAGACTATGATCTGGCTCATTGCAATTCCTTTGCATGGCTCAAATGGACTCAAATCTAGGCTTTGAGTCCATTTGAGCCATGCAAAGCAATCAAGTTAATAACTTTGTGGTTAAGGATGTTGGCGTAGGACTAGATTTGAAAATTGAGCAAAAGAGCTTAGGGATTAAGCTATTAATGGAATGAAATAGAGTCAGCTGAAGAACGCAATCTATCCTCCTAGGAACGCCATGCGTTCTGAACATAATTCATCAATTCTAGACACTATGCGTTCTAACGCTAGGTTGACTCGGTTGACTTTTTGACTTTTGACAAAGTTTGACCTTAGGGTATTTTGAGTTGTAGTCTGAGTTTTGGTCACTGTTATTTGTTAAGGTGATCAATAGAGCAGTTTTCGGAGCTACGTATTGTTTCAGTTTTTCCCCTGTCTATGAGGTGAGTCTCCTCATTGTATCCATGGGTTGAAGGCACCAATTTCGACCCATTACTTTGTTATATAGGATGCTGGTTATCTATACGATATATGTAAGAAAGACCAGGATTTGGCCCCTACCTATTTTATCGAAGACCAGGATTTGGCCCCTAGCTATTCTATGGAAGACCAGGATTTGGCTCATGGCAATCGTATGAAAGACCAGGATCTTGCCCCTGACACTTGAATGTAAGACCGGTATTTTTGTGACAACCCAAACTTATTGCCGTTACATAATCCCGTCTTCACTAACGGAATTCGTCATTATATAGATTATTTTCTGTAATGTTTGGAGTCGTCAATAAATAAATGTCTATTTATTTATATTTCTTGATATTATCATAAGTAATTATAACTTGTAAGTGTTAACCCCGTTTAACTAAATAGAGTTATATTACTTTTCAACCACTTCACCCGGGTAAAAAGTTTTAACCCCGTTAAACTTTATCATCGGGTAGCCGTGTATCGGGTGCAATATCCGAGACATATATAAAGCAAATGAACACCACTTTAAACCCTTTTATCACTCATTCACTCTCTCTCACTACTTTCTCTCTCTAGACCCGAACTCGACTCCA